ATTCTTCATAAGCGCACCCTCGGTAAGTAGGATCCAAGCCTTGTACTGCGCGGATGTCAAGTTTCGAACACTATCTTCAAACGCATTGAATACTCAATGAAAAAAAGTGAATTCAATTTGACAAGCGCGCAACAAAAAACAAAAACAGGGGAACTAATGTGATGGCAAAGTGATGGCAATATCCGCCTATTTGTTAGCTACGAGGCAGACAAATTCGCAATCTTGTCGCAAACCCTTAATCAAAAACCGAGTCACACCTGTAACAAAAACATTTAACTGCACATAAAAGAGACTTTCTTTTGCGATGCAAGCGATTGAATCTGAGAATGAGTTTCTTTCGCTATGCAGACGATTGAGTGTGAGAAAAAATTTTTTTCGCAATGCGCGCTTGAATAATGTTTGCGTAGTGACAGGTGCAGAAGCTGAACTTTAGAAAATCATCAGCAGACTCAACTAGATAGTCTACATTTCTGTCTTCTAGAGCTCAGTAAAAACCCATGAACTCTTTGTTCAAAGACTCGAGTCCGTTGGTTTCTATGGAATACGTCCATCGATGGGTTGTTGATCGCATTTCCCATTTTCTCAAAAATTTGTCAGCCAACTTTTGACAAGATACCTGTCCCATAAAGCAACCTCATACACCTCTTTAGACTATTGCATCGAGGAATTTTCAAGAGAATCGAGTCCTTCGATGTAACCTTTTCGCATAGAGTCTGTCTCAACAGAAATCACGCCGAATCTTTGACGTAAAGCGCGCTCGCAGCGCTGAGGGTTTGCCTGCATATGTGCATTGTCGGACGAAGAGATTGAAGAGAGAGAACAAGCTAACCGTAGACGTTAACACAAAACCTTACACGGACACGCGCCATGCCAATTTTGCTATGGTTGGGATTGGGACTGTACAAATTTATCTAATGAGGAAGCTTTGCAGGCGTTGTCGGAGTTGTTGGAGATACAAGGTCAAAGTATGTCAATGTACGGCCTTGAAGGCAGTGTCCGGGCAGGAAGCGATTTTGAGATTTTGTGCTTACCTGCTTATTCGCTATGCTATATCCGATAATTCACATTGGAAAACGCTAAGATGGCGAAAAAAAGCTCTAACGCAAGAGTGGAATCAATAGGTGGGCAGGGCCTTCCTCTTTGTAAAGTCACTCTCTCAGCTTCAGGAGCTATCTTCCCAGGGAGCCGCCTCAGCAATGCCACCGGTCAAGTGCAAAAGCGCGATATGAAATCGGAACTGAGAAGATTGCTCCTGAAGGGAGGATCACGCACCGGCTGATCCCCCTTCTACGTTAGAATTTTCGCGTTTTCGCGTTTTCCAAAGTGGACTTCCGGATTCTGCAGAGCGAATAGGTCCAGGTAGGCGCAAAATTCCAAACGGATTTCTTGCTCGGACGCTGCCTTTAACAAAGGACCCATCATAAAGCTTCTCAAGAAGTTCTTGCGATGCATTATTCTAGAATGCTCCGATCGCTATTATACGCAAAAGGCTGGTGGCAACCGGCCAAAGATTCGCACCCATGTTAGCGATCTGTTTCATGAGCAGGTATGAAGCCGGTATTGAGAGGCCCGCCGATGTAATGCCACTACATCGATTTGTTTACGATTACCTCAACACACTTTAAGATGAGCGAATGATTTACCATACTAAACTACAGTCGCACTCCATCACCCTAACGGGAGAAAGACCGTTCGACGTCTAGCTCTCTTTCCTGAAAATGGAGCTGACGTAGGCCAACGATCTGTGCTCATCAAATGTCATCAAAAATAAATATCGTTGATAAATATCGCAAAAATATCGTTTTGCGTGCACAATCGCATACAAGCCGTGCTGTAATTCGCACTTTGAAACAGCAGTAAAAGTCTGTAGCGATGATAGTGAGCCAACAATCACTAGGAACGGCAACGAAACTATTGGCCTTGGTTGGACGTAAACCACGACCAGACGCTTAGAAAGAACAGCATGAAGGCGGGCAAACGACATACGGATAAAATAGCTAGCAATGAATTGCGGAGTATGTTCTTATGTAAAACAGAAAACTTTGCAAAGTCCAACGTTGTCTGCCAGAGTGAATGCCCATGCGTTGCTATTTATCTATATAAGTGAGACAGGTCTGCCGCTGAGCATGCGTACAAATGAGCATCTGGCTGGCAATAAGAAAGAGTGTTTAACAGGTACCATTAGGCAAGAAAGGCTGAACATGATGTATTTATCAGTATGGCACATAAGTAATGCAACTTTTTATATAAGTATTGTCTTTTAGGACGTGGTGCATTCACTTTTTGGCAAATGCAGAGACTTTTGCCGAAATTTGCCACCTCATGCAAGGGTTACGGTAGGTTTACGGTATAACGGAGATTCTTTTATAATGCGTCAGATTTTGCTGAAGCTTGGCCATTGAAGGTTATTTGACATGCTAATTTCAAAAAATGAGACCCGTTTTGCATGAAAAGGCCTCTTTCGTGAAGTCAAGGAATGAAGTTTTATCTTACAAGGGAATGGTCAGAAGTCGAAGTGGCCAATCCAAGCAGGCTACCTACTACTTACGATTCAATGCAGCGTTCAAGGCTGAATTCGAATCTGTATTCCCCATCTGCTTATTGCCTTTGTGGATGAAGTTAGGAGTAGTTTTATTGCGAAAGAATCGTACATAAAAATTACGAGATTGAGCACATTGCTGCAATTTCAGCTCACCTCTAGGCTTTAAGAATATAAAGTGAACTAGCTGCATGTTTTGGCCCAACATTAAGCCGAACATAGCTCTGTACTGCCAAATTTGCGCTTTGCATGCATGAATTCCTAGCAAAATTAGGGCTTTCAACGGCTCATATATTCGCCCACAAAGGGCTAAGCAGATAAGGAATACAGATTTAGACTCAGCATTTTATGCTGCCTCTGATGGTATGCAGCATGTTTGGATTGGCCACTTCGAATTCTGACCATTTCCTTGTTAGTGACAAATGAATGATATTCGTGGTTACCCTATTGGAAAGTTCAAGCGAACTCTGACTTTCGCGCCTTAGTTATTGACAGATGGCCCTCCACTTCCGACGCATTCGATTTGCTCAACTTCTCAAAGGCGCCCTATCTTAATTTGTCATCAAATTTTGTTTCTTTTTTTACTGACTTCAATATGTCAACTTCTAGCTACATGCTGCTTATAATTGCATTTTGATATGTTTGATTCAGGCTTTGTACTGCTTCATGTTTGCCCGTGAAACCTCGATTTTCAGCAGTTTTCGAGAAGTATTGAAGGTTTTTCCTGCTACGTTAACAAAAATCAAACGGTTTGCGCAGACTCGCAGCTTACATGACATCTACATGGTGCTAGAGAGTGAGATTGCTACATAAAATAAGATAAAAGTAGAGGGAAAGAGTTGCAGAACTTATCAGAACTTGTGTGCTAACCTAATATCATGACTTAAAAGAACGGGCTAAGGATGTTTACGTGACTTTGTGTGTGTGTGTCTGTCTGTTACGAAATTCGTGGAGCGTGTTCCAGCCAACGTTCTAAGCCCAAATTTTGTATAGCGCATGCTACCTTCGTGAAAGTGCAACATGCAAAAGCACGAGTAGATTCGTTGAGTGGATCCCTCAGAATTTGCGCGCCAAACGGGTCCACCTGGCTTCTGTACCGCAAAAGTCGGTGCGTATCACCACTTTTTGCAGAGTCGTGGATGAGTTTGGTAAGCAAATGTGCAAGCGATGAAGTTTAGCCAGAAAAGTGGTCGAAAGTTTACTACATAACGAAAACGGCGCCATAACGAATTGGTTGTGTAAATGGTCAATTTGCCAAGGTTCTAGCTAAGCGTTTGAGAAGATTTTCGCACAGAGATGTAGCTCACGGTTATCGTTACCTTTATGGCGACTACCAAGTCATGACAAACCCAAAAACCTATTCAAATTTGCGTTTGTCTTCCTGCGAAAAGTTTCATCCACTCGAAATCACCGATCTCACGTGAAAAGATTTTCTAAATGAGTGGTTGTTTACATTTTATTCGTGGTAGTCGGCATAGTGCGGTGAGTTCCACTGCCACGTTTTTACGAGAATGAATAAGGCACATAGATAGTAGAGCCAGTGCGAACCTCTGCGAAGCAGAGGTGACGCACTGGTTACGAAATAAAGTGCACAATCTTACGAGAGCCTTTCTGCGCGGTAGGGCACCTCTCATTCTTTTAGTGACCCTAGGCTCAACAAGGAGAGTGTAAAATTATCCGCAAGATTGTGATCTAGTCATGTCTGCCGTTCTATAGGTTATAAGATTCACATATATAAGCAAACGCGTAGAACGAAGTTTACCCATATTCAACATCTCAAGGTCAAACGAGTCCTCAAAGGCAGTGGTGCATCAAATCTTGACCTAGGCAAATTCTCTCTTACCCGGGGTTATTCAATGCGCTGATCCCGAAAATAGAATTAAGTGAGCTTGAAAATGGCGAAAACGATCGCTTTCAATGTTCTTCGCTTTGAAATTGGAGAGTGGAACAAAGCTGAAGAGACTGAATCTTGCGGGACCAGTGGTTATAACATTGCGGTGGGCAGCCTGTGGTGAGAGGAGAATTGTCCCAGTGGTTATAACATTGCGGTGGGCAGCCTGTGGTGAGAGAAGAATTGTCAACTCGTCCGAAGGCATGCAAGATTGGCTTGCGGTGTAAGTTTGAAAGCAATTTTCTCGGCAGGCAGGTTCTGCGACCGGGATTGCACTGTTCTCCTCCTACGTAGGTGCTAAGCAACCTACCGCGTTAAAATCCTGCGCTGTTAAGTTCTGCCGGTCCCCTGAGCAGTTTCCAATACACCTGTGTCACAATCGGCAGTAAAGATATCGACTTCCGAGCTGTCTATCAGTACCATAAAGTTCACGAGCAAGCAAGTGAAGCTTGTCTGACATAAGAGGAGCGTTCATCAAACTGACAGTGAGTGACTCCTTTCAAACCTCTAACGACGGCGTGGAGTCGCGTAAAGCAAATGAATTGTGTCACTGATAGCCTGTGGCTATGCATGCCTTCGGACGAGTTCCAAGATACAACACAAACTATAAGCAATGTCCCCAACTTTAAGAGCATCAGTGACAGCATTTTCAGCAGCGAAGAGCGCGTACCGGCAATCTGCTTTCGAACCTATCATCCACCAATTCGACTTGCTCTCGCGCTCCATCGTTGGGGATGCGTTGTTTTGCCTGCTTTTATGTACATTGTTGCAGCTATTCTTATCTTGAAGGTCCGTCTTCATTAAACATGTTATCAAAAGCTCAGTGATTTGTTCAGAAATCTTCCACCCGCTGGTCATCTCAAGCAAAGCGGCTGACGAAGCAGGAGAGCAGTAAAATCAAGAAGGCAACGGTCACAATGGGTGAGACGAAGTTTATGCTGCATATGTAAAACTCGCTGTTTGGTTGTAAAGCGGGAACAGATTTAGAAATCGCAGCTTTCTGTTTTCCCAAATGTCCCTTAAAGAATCGTAAAGCAGAAGTACAGGAGGTAAGGGCTTGCAGTCTCTAACCGCATCCGATTATCAAAAGCGCGACCACAATAGTAAAATTTTGCAAATTTGAAAGGGTCTTTGCAGGAAAAAATCCTACTGCTTCATGCGAGACATACAAGACAGTTCCAGTCAATGCTTGCCGATTAGATAAATGACGCCTTGGAGCGTCAACCCTACTTTATGAAAAAATATTTACAGAATAACTATGCCTTCAAAAATTGAGAAGCTCAGATTATTGATTCAAAAAACGCAGCATGACTTGAGAAAGTCGCGGATTTTCTGGTCTTCTGACAAGTCTCGAGGTTAAATGAGAGCTGTATTGCTTTCTCTCCCTAAGGCATCACCTAAAGGGCTGTAATAAGCGTATGAAATACCAAATCTAAAACACTTGTTATTTTGTCAATTCAAACAAGCCTTAAGAGGGTTGGAATGCACGAAGGCGCAACATATGCGGCCATCATTTTGGAATGGAATTATCTTGTTTTAATATGCAAATGTGAAAAGGGGATCATACGAATAGACTTAGACCGTAGGGTGTTATCTTTGACTATATTGTTATACTACAGCACTTGTTGCAGCAGCGCTCTGCAGTGGACAAAACTTACGTCAGAGGTAAAATATTGATGCTGTCATATGCTGAAATCATTTTCCGAAGAAGAAAAAAGCACACACTTGCTGCAAAAATCGCAATACACATGACCAATCTTCATTTTCATGTCTATTTGGTCCAATTTATTGTCATCATACTGCTCCATTCAAGCAATTTTAAAACTGATAATTTCGGACCCAATGTGATTAGCATCCTGAATCACAGTCGTAGCAGTAATCCAGAATAGCTCTTCCGATTAGTCCCAATACATGCAAAATCCCTTTACCTCTCTCCAATCTCGGAATGAAAGATAATCTAATTTGAATAGTTCAACGATCACGGTGTTTTATAAGACGGTGCTAAACGTCAATTTTGTTCTCAGAGTATAACCAAAATATTGGCCCGTAGTAAAGTAGTAAACCTCTCTCCCCACCCCCCCCCCTATCGGTGCAACTCGACCTGTGGTGGCCTACGTTGGACAAAGGACGCCTTCCAGCATCCAGTGAGCTATTGATCTGGATGCGGATCGCTTTCTAATCATGACAATCAGTGTTCTTGAAAAAAAGAACCACTTGAGCCGGTTTGGTCGAACAGGTAAGCGACTGGAATTGAACGCTCGCGGTCATGGTCCACCACTGGCTAGCGCCACACATTTGCTGTATGGCCTATCGTCTCTGATAGCGACCACTATCGCAAAGTCAATGATGACCGCTATCAAAGATTTTGCCTAGTACGTGCATGGATAAAGCGAAAACACATTTTTTGACGAAAATTTCATGAAAAAATGAAATGGTTGCAACATGAGCTCAATAAATTAAATCAATAAATTCTTCCCTTGACCTTTTCAAAAAAAAGTCAGCAAACTTTACAAAAAGAAAAAAATTTGTTTTCTTCCATTCCACGCCAAAATCAGGTGTTCATCAATTCTCTTCTCTTCGGGCCCCGACATTGTGTAGTTTAGCGCCGATTTTGTCCGCAATGTTTGGCAAACTGATGTGTATCCTAAGTTATTCAGGAGCAATTTATGGGAATGTTCTCTGCGTCTCGTCTTTTCCACACTATTTGCATTAGTCTAACATCAGCCCACGTCTCAAGTGATCGTGAACTGATGCAATTGATTCAGTTGACTGCAGCAGGTGGACGGATGCCCAACTGTCGTTCACTTGGCATGCTTATAGCATGGGAAGGTGGGTGGTCATCATTTCACCTGATGTAAGTTCAATTGATGGGTTAAGTTCAGTTCACCTGAACTGATCGAGCTTTACTACGAGCCATTATTAGGCATACATCTATTGTTGATAAAATCGAATTCAGTATGCTAGCAGATATCGGTGGCCGACTTTGGTAGATCAAATCTTTTGGGTGTCTGAACATTCCGGCGGACCGCAAGAAATCAGCAAACTATCCGGTGCCCGCCCGCCCATAAATCGCAAGGCCGCCTGCCCCCGACGATTATCTGAGTGGTTACGAGTTTCTTAGAAATGACTAGGCATCCAAGCAACTGAATCGACTCCACTTGCATACTTTACAAAGAGTAACTTAGAGCAGGATGCTGTAGCATGCGCTATGTGCGACTATCACACGCTGCGCAGCGGCGTCGTGTGCCCTTCATCTCAGATAATCGCCGGGGGCAGGCGGTCATGCGATCTATGGGCGGGCGGGCACCGGAAAAATAGTTCGCTGATTTCTTGGTCCTGTTGCAGATATTTGCAAGAATTCTAACGAAATTTCAAAAACGAAATGCTTGAACAACAATCGCGGTTTCCTTATATGTAGATTAGCTGCGGCGCAGTGGCCGCATTCTCGCGAATTTTCCGCGAGAATATGCAAAATTTTTGAGGGCCGCACTGCCCAGGGTACTTTCCGCTGAGAGAAGGTACCTCAAACTTGAGTAATTAAACCAACGGTGACACCTCTGCCAGAGTCTTAACTGTGCTCGACGTAAGCCCGAAACTGCGTAAAAAGAGTCCGAGCGCCTGCTGAAAGTTGTGCCAGCGTTTGCTGAAAGAGATTATTTGACAAGCGCCTGCAGGAAATTCTGTGTTGCTGCCCGCTGGCAGAACATTAGACAGTAAAGGAAGTAACGCTCGCTGAAGGTTTGGCCACGCCCCAAAATTCTGCTGACCGCTTGCAGAAAAGCGCGAGTTTGCGGAACGCCTGTCTCCGGCGATTATCTGAGCTGTGCCAAGCACGGGATGGCAACGGGGGTAGAGGAGCGAGCACCTCTATTGGGCAATGCCTCCGCGGGCTGTTGGTCCTTTCGTCCTACTGTTGTGCATCGTGCTAGGACCAGTAGTCCGCGGAGGCGATGCCTGATTGAGGTGTTCGTTCCTCTACCCGCCACACAGAAACCCCTGGACGAAGCTTCAGAAGTACATATGCAGGGCCATAGAATAAAATCGACTTTAGATTGCGGCAGGCGAAGCATTACAGGAATTTAATGACCTTGATGAACTTCTTGAACTCTTGCGCTGAAACAAGGCTCAACTTTCTCGCTGTCAATTTGAAATGCGCACAAAGCTGCCAAGTCTCCGCCCCCGCCTAGACGCCTGGTCTTGCGAGCAAGATGCTAAAAGCTGATCAAACTTATTTTCAGCTTTATCCACAGTAAATGCCGTGTTCCTACTACTTGTACCGGATGTTATTCTCTACTTCCACTTCTTCGATTCCGAAGTGATGGTCTTTATATTGTTCTCACTGATTTTGAATAAGGTAGGATCCTATCCCTCAATTGTCGAAGGCGAGTAACTACGAAACGCTTGCTAATCGCCGCATAGCGCCAGAAAGATACTCTGCAATTTTCAAAATCGGGTTTCCACGCTCAATTCTTCAATGTTTCTACAAACTATTCAGGGCAAAATGAGGATTCTTGACATTTCTCCCTTTTTACTTCCCTTGAAAACCGTAACTGAGTGGATTTGACAGATTTGAGAAAATGATTACAGCAGTATTCGACTACAGTCACTTTGCGTGATTGCAGAATTATTGTACACCAGTGCGTCACCTCTGCTTCGCAGAGGCTCGCACTGCCCTACTTTCTGATGCTTTACTCATTCCCGCACAAAAGTGACAATGAAACTCACCGCGCTATGCCTACTATCACGAATGCTTTGTAAACAACTATTCATTCTAAAAGCTTTTCCATATGAGATCGGTAATTTCGCGTGAATGAAACTTCTCCCAAAGGAACAAATGCTGATTTAAATCGGTTTTTGGAGTTTTCACGGCTTGGGATTTGCCATAAGATACAATGTCACCGTGGGCTCATCTCTGTGCAAAAATCTTTTCAAGTGATCGGGTAAAACCTTGGCAAAGTATACATTTACGCAACCAAATCTTTTTGGCCCGTTTTTGCAAACTAATAAACTTTAGTTCAATTTTTTGAGCTAAAGTCCATCGTTTGCACATTAACTTGTCAAACAATCCGTGACCTTGCAAAAAGTTGTGCTACAGGCCCAATTTTACTGTCCAAAAGCCAAGTGGATCCGACTGACGCGCATTTTTTGAGGGATCCACGCAACGGATCCGCTCATGCTTTTGTACAGTGGACTCGCATTTGATTATCATGCTCTGTGCAAAATTTGAGCTCGAGAAATTCATTGGAACTCGCTCCATGAATTTCGTGACAGACAGAGATTCAGACACACACACAAACGTAAACAACCCTTAGCCCGTTATTATAAGTTATGATGGTGGAGCTGAGTGATTGAGTGGTAGAATCACTAATGAGAATGTACTAAAAAGGAAATGGTCAAAAGTCGAAGTGACCCATCCAAACAGGCTGCCTACCATTCGATGCTGCATTCGACGTTGATTTTGGACCTGTATTTCTTCTGCTCAGACAATCGCTGGGGGCAGGCGGGCACCGGAAAAATAGATTGCTGATTTCTCGCACCCCGCTCGCGGATTTTTTGCAAAGCAATCAGGACTTTTCGGAAGACCGCTTGCTGAGCCAGCGGATTTTTGAGAGACCGCCTGTTGATTTTTTTCGCTTTTATCTTTTGCAGATATATTGCTGAATCTCTGAGGAATCGAGAACTCAGCAAGCGGTCTTCCGAAAAGTCCTGATTGCTTTCCAAAAAATCCGCGAGCGGGGTGCGAGAGATTAGCAATCTATTTTTCCGGTGCCCGCCTGCCCCCGGCGATTGTCTGAGTGGTTGGTGCCTTTGTGGACGAAGTTATGAGCAGTTTTATTGCAAAAAAATGTACATAAAAATTGCAAAAGTGAGCACGTTGTTGTACTTTTAGTTCACTTTTGGGCCTATAAAGTAACCTATCTGCATTTTTTAGCCTAGCATTGAACCAAAGCTGGCTCTGTATGCCAAATTTGCGCTTTGCATGCACGATTCCTTACAAGGGAATGGTCAGAAATCGAAGTGGCATCCATGCAAGCTGCATTCCATTCGATGCAGCATAAAATGCTAATTTCAAATCTGTTTTCCATATCTGCAGAGCGCCTTTGTAGGCGAAGTCAAGAGCAGCTTTACTGCGAAAAAACCGTAAACAATAATTGCAAAATTAGGCACATTATTGCTCCTTCAGCTCAACTCTAGATACGGGCCATATGAAGTAACCTAGCTCTGCAGATAAAGAAGACAGATTTAGAGTCATGGTTTTATGCTGCATTTGAATATATGCAGCTTGTGTGAATTGGCCACTTCGACTTCTGACTAGTCCCTTGTTAGCAAAATAGCGGCACTTATCGGCCCATGTCTTCGCCCACAAAGGCGCTAAGCAGATGTGGAATATAGATTCGAATTCAGCGTTTTATGCTGCATCCAAAGGTATGCAGCTTGTCTGGCAAACATAACGGGCAAATTTATTTATCGGAGTTCTTCAATTCGTATTCCACCTTCACACGAACAGTGTTTACAGGATATATAAGAGCTGCCTTTCTTCGAGATATCATGAAGTGACAAAGAGTTCGATTTGGATCGTTCATGTCATGTCTTGCCTTGCTTCGACTTTAACTCCCCAACAACAGTTCAGCGCATGGACCAGATCCAGACGGTTTTCATGGTCATAGAAGTCTGCCGGAAGTACCGACAGTCTCTCGTCCTATCTACGAGAAAGCCTTTCAGTATCGAAACCAACGCCATCCTGTCAGCGCTAGTCGATCAAGGGTGGACTCAGTTCACGTCGTTAGCCGATGTTGCAAGGACTGTATAACGACGATGCAGCTTAACCATCGCCCCTGACCATCCCAGTTAAGAAGGGCTTCGACAAAGCAACACAATCTCGCGAAAGCTGTTCACCGCGGCACTGAAGTGCGTGATGAGGGACTGAATTGGGATGAGAGATGCATACGTGTTGATTATAGAACGCTCCAACCTTCGTATTGCTAACGACATCGTTCTCTTCTCGAGCAGTATCACTGAAGCAGAGACGATGCTGAAGGAATTAAACTAAACGAAGTAGGGAAGAAGATCGGATTGCGAATAAATAGGAAGAAGACTCAATCCATGAAGAACGGCCTTTGCGAAGATGCGAAATGGAATTGGAAGGCACCCCTATCACAGAAACGTCTTCTTACTATCTCTCGGACGTTCGATGAACATGGAGAACGACTTGAGGGAAGAACTTAACAAGAGAAGAAGAGCAGTCTGGGCCGCCTTCGTTCTCTGAAGGATGCCACCAACCAGCTGACGGACCCGAGGAAGCTCTTCAACGAGATGGGCAGACGTTCGTGGGAACGGATTGACCATTTGAGAAATCCTCGATACGAATTTCGCCCTTAAAACTCGTAGACGCAGCTACCGACGACAACCAAGAAAATCGTGGATGTCTGAAGCGAGGCACAAGGATCAATGGCATTTTTCTTGGGGCCCGCACGTCGTGAAGACAGGTCATCAAGTATCTAAGCAGGTATCAACGTTCCTTTGATCATCACCGAACAGAGTACTCAAGTGCTTTGTGTGAAATGGGTTATTGAGCAGCAACTCTTTGATTCATGTATATAGATTCATAAGTGTTAAAAAGGCAAGTATGTCTTCGCTCCGTTGCCAAGAGTGTAGCCAATTGGAATTTGTCTATCGTTTTTTCTGCTTCTATGACCACTTCTTTCATAGAACACTTGTTGCGTTTTCTTCGCATTGATCTCTTTTTGTTGAGAATCGGAAGCTTTTGTAAGTGACTGCTTCCCAAACAATTAAGTCCAAGAATTGCGTAAGGTTTTCTTATGCCGAAACCAGGTTAACTGGTGGAACTTTATTGACTCAACGTTTCGAACAATCCTGCTTTCCAGCTTTCCAATAGAACTGCTCATAACTCTGTCTACAAAGGCGTTCGGCAGATACGGAAAACATGTTTGGAGTGAGCATTCTATGTTGCATTCAAACGCTTGTAGCTTGCTTGGATCGACCACTTGGACTTCTGTCCATTCCCTTATAAGATCTGTCGAGACACTCCTCACAGTATAAGCGATAGTTCAAAGCTCTCATGAATTTCGACGATACTATGACCAATGAGATATGAGTGTGAACTGGTACTGATATGGGGAGAAAGCTCTCATATTGCCTTTTTTGTAGAAAACGCATCCCATACTTCAAGGTTTGGGAGTGTGAAGGTAAAATAGGAGAATTTTCGCGTAACTACCAATGGAGAGCGTTGTCGTTAACGGAAATATGCAGTTGGAGGCTTTAGATGGAAGTGGATTCTTTCAGCGTTAATTTTTACCACTACAGTCGGCGCTTAATCGCAAATGGCATAGAGACAACTCTGTCGCATATTCGCAACTTCTTTTAGAGGAGTTCGCCGTCGCGCTGCAAAGGGTCCTAAAATGTTTTCCTCGCGCTGCTCCCGCCTTCCCACCGCTATCTGCCGCAGCTTTCGATTCAGTCGTCAATGTTGTTACCTGGTGAGCGGTTTGGGTCGCGTTTCGTCTTCACTCCTGTCGATCAATGCAGCGCCGTCCCAACTCACCCGCTCATCTACAGTCAACAGCTATGGAGGACAGGCAACCCCGCAGACGAGGTAACCTCGTGAGCGCTCGTGCCTGGCACATGCCGGCGACATCGCCACGGGGGATTTCCGATATTGCCGGCCCCTAGGTTAAGATCTGGTTGGTTGTGCTCCACCCTTGTGTTTGAGTTTAGGGGAAATTGTTGCGGATAAATGGTGGGCATTTAACATGTGTATCTTGTTTTGATGCGGTGGACCAGCTCGGCTGTGGCTCCGCGGAGTACCTTGTGTTACCGTGTTATTACAATCCTGCCCAGAGTGTTCTATCAGTGTGAGGGCTGGCACGATTCTAGATAGTGCCTGGATTGTAAGTGAACGCCCCAACTGTCGATGGTTGGGATCGAGCGTCACAGGTGTCGAGTCAACTGCTAAGCAGGCTGGTGGCAAGGGCCTCTATGTGTGCATGAAGGCTAGAATGAAGATTTCGAAAAAGTGTTGAGTCTTGAGATCAGCCTCTGAATCAGATGAAGATGTTTGGGCAAATTTGGTCTCGTACAAAGAAAGACGTTTGAACAACGTAAATAAAGATCAAAGTTGAATTAGCATTTGAAAGGAACTACGAAAAAGTGCTTATCTCCAGGTCATGGTCAACTTCGTTCTTGTCGTTGTGAGACACCGTGGATTTCGCACGACTTTGTTAGATCTTCTCAAATCAAAGAAAGGAAGCATTGCACCAAGGACAGCGACCCCATCTATATTCTAGCCACAATTTTATTTTTTGTACATAAAGATATGATGCTGCGATTGCCATGGGCATGCAAGGTATCGTAAACCACATATTTTGATGA